ACACACACACACACACACACACACACAGGTCTAACTCGTCACTACTGTGTGACAGGAATCGGTGACGACAGCTGGGGTTCAAACCAAACAACAGAACACCTGACTGTCAGTACTAATCAAAACACCAGGGGGCGACAGCAGTGGCTGTCAATCAAAGGTTCTGGTCACGACTCATTCTTATATTTTATATCTGACCAAAGTCCCCCGGAGCAGAGGCCAGTCGGTACCGACCCCTAGTGGGGTGTCCCGGTACTGCCCCCTGTGGAACGCTAACATTCAGCTGATAAGAACGACAAGGTTGGTTGAAGAACCATCTAACCTTTGACCTTCTTGCTAACCTACAGCATCTGTGGTTGTGGTTGTCATTAACACGCTGATGTCACCACTGCGTTTCCATGACAACACAATCACCTGAAGCCGTTTTCGCTTCAGTTCGTCAACGCCCGGTCTCGTCCCATTGGTCGGTTTTTGAAAAGGAACGGTGCACCCTGGTGGTACACATCGTAGTGTCTGATCAGACCCAGTCACCGGGCACAGCGCCATCAACTGGACCATTAGGTAACAACACCAGTAAAAACACAAAACACATCTTCACAAATGTTAACGTAAATGTGACGCTAGCTATAAAAAAAAAAATTTTAAAAAAATTGAAGTCCCAGTTTGTGCTTCACCTACGGCCCGGTGAATCTGAAACAGAAACAGGCGACCGCTGCAGCGCCACCCACAGCCATCCTGGTGCTACGTCACATTATAAACACCAACAAGCTAGCCCTCCACGCAGCTTCTTCACTTTTTGATCGTCTGGTTTAAGAAAAAAAAAAAACAAAACAAAAAAACACACACACCGTCCACACACACACACACACACACACCGTCCACACACACACTAACTTATGGCTCATCCTGGAGTCGACACATACTGAGTGGTAAATTAGGAGGAAACAGGAGGAGGAGCAACAGAGGGTACAGAGAGGAGGGAGGGGCCGAGCCCCCACTACAGACGTTAACACTTCACCAGACTGGAGACTGTAGACTGGGGGGGGGGGGGGGGGGGGGGGGGGGGGGGCAGGCCCTTTTCTACCACTGTACGGGGTGGGGAAGTGATGGGGGGGGGGGGATGAGGACTCAACCTTTCACCAAAGAGAGGGAAATAAAAAGGCATCATTGTTCTCAGGTGGTGGTGGTGATGATGTGACATCAGCAGCTCCACCTGCTGGACACTCTACGTTTCTGCAGGAGACACAGAGAAGAGGGGGTGGGCACAGGTCTGAACACAGTGACATCAGCAGTGACATCAGCAGTGACATCATTTTATAATCTGATCAATGTCTGTATTAAATGTGTATGGGATCACACAGCTCTGTAGACTCAAGAGCTCCTCCTGCTGGCAGCCATGTTTCCAGGAGGACAGAGTTTTATTAGGATTATTATGATTATTACTAGTAGTATTTAGTAGTAGTATTTATTTAGTAGTATTTACCTGTGGGTTGGACCTCCATCTGTGGGTTTGTCTCAGTGTCTGCTGCTGTAAACACACACACACACACAGTCAGAGTGAGGACCTGTTCTACTTCAACAATGAACAGTCATCTCACAATAATCTATACTGCAGTCTGCCACCAGGGGGTGTCATTTCACCACATCCTCCTGCTGTCATAGACCACACACAAGTCCTCAGGGTTCTCCTCCTCACCTGTTTGTTCCTGCTCTTTCTCTGGTGACGACTCCTCCACAGGTTCCTCAGCAGGAGCGGCCTCCTCCTCCATGGATGCTTCCTCAGCAGGAGCGACCTCCTCCTCCTCCTCCTCTACAGGTTCTTCAACAGGAGCGGCCTCCTCCTCCTCCTCTACAGGTTCTTCAACAGGAGCGGCCTCCTCCTTCTCCTCCTCTACAGGTTCTTCAACAGGAGCGGCCTCCTCCTTCTCCTCCTCTACAGGTTCTTCAACAGGAGCGGCCTCCTCCTTCTCCTCCTCTACAGGTTCTTCAACAGGAGCGGCCTCCTCCTTCTCCTCCTCTACAGGTTCTTCAACAGGAGCGGCCTCCTCCTTCTCCTCCTCTACAGGTTCTTCAACAGGAGCGGCCTCCTCCTTCTCCTCCTCTACAGGTTCTTCAACAGGAGCGGCCTCCTCCTTCTCCTCCTCTACAGGTTCTTCAACAGGAGCGGCCTCCTCCTTCTCCTCCTCTACAGGTTCTTCAACAGGAGCGGCCTCCTCCTTCTCCTCCTCTACAGGTTCTTCAACAGGAGCGGCCTCCTCCTTCTCCTCCTCTACAGGTTCTTCAACAGGAGCGGCCTCCTCCTTCTCCTCCTCTACAGGTTCTTCAACAGGAGCGGCCTCCTCCTTCTCCTCCTCTACAGGTTCTTCAACAGGAGCGGCCTCCTCCTTCTCCTCCTCTACAGGTTCTTCAACAGGAGCGGCCTCCTCCTTCTCCTCCTCTACAGGTTCTTCAACAGGAGCGGCCTCCTCCTTCTCCTCCTCTACAGGTTCTTCAACAGGAGCGGCCTCCTCCTTCTCCTCCTCTACAGGTTCTTCAACAGGAGCGGCCTCCTCCTTCTCCTCCTCTACAGGTTCTTCAACAGGAGCGGCCTCCTCCTTCTCCTCCTCTACAGGTTCTTCAACAGGAGCGGCCTCCTCCTTCTCCTCCTCTACAGGTTCCTCTAAAGATTCAAGCTCCTCGTCAACTGACTCCTCGGCCTGGACCTCCACTGCTTCTTCCACGGGGGCGCTCTCCTCAGCTACAGTCTCAGTCACCTCCTCATTGAGCTCTTCTTCCACAGCCTGCTCCTTAACCTCCTCC